CACTTTGTCCGAGTTAGGACTTCGGATTTAATTCCTTCTGAAAGAATGTCGTTCCTCGAGGAATGGAACATGAATCGTAAGTAGATACGTTGATTAACTATTTTTTCATTTCTTTGGACCATTTTCCCTCCTAAATTAACTTCTTTCGTTGGTGCAGCTGTTGGGTGGTACCCTAGTGCGGTTAAGGATCTTGCGGGTTGGGTTTCGCCAGCTCGATTCAATCTACCCATATGATAAGCGCGTATGGCGCGATCTGGCCAAGGCTCAATGGGAAGCGAAAAACCACGGTGAGGTTTTTCTTCTGCCGTACCTAAGCTCATTGCAGGAGGTACTCCTTAGCCGTATTCTTAGCCTTTGTAACTGCCTTTTGCGTTTATGTAGGCCTGGGAGATGCCCCTTTGATGAGCGAAAGCCCCACCGAGGAGGCAGACACCTCAAGCCCTGCCAAGGAGAAGAAGAGAAAGAGAAAATCGCTGACTGAATCCTCGAAAACAAAAAAGGCAAAAGCTCAAAATCCTAAGGTTGATTCAGCGGCCCTGACTTCGGAAGTAGGGGAGGGTCTCCGAGCTGGGGGCGAAGAGGAGGATGACTCCCTGCATGTGCTCTGGGAAGGAGAAAGTGTGTCTGTCTCGGGTCTTGCTGGGCCGATGGTTGTTGAGCCAAAGGCTTCCAAACCAGAAATTGTTGATGTTGTTCCACCTTGGGCCGAAGAGGCTCTCGAGGGCGGATCAGATAACGCCCCTGAGCCGGTCAGTGACCAAGACATTCCTCGAGCCGAGGGGCTTTTGGCAAATGAGTTAGGGGATCCCAGCTCTGAGGCCCCTCGATGGCAAGGGAAGGCCCCGATCGATCCAATCGGAGCTATTGATGTGGGAGGTCCTCCGTCGGGTCCGGCATTATTTTCGAGGGAGATACGGGATGTTCAAAATAGAAAGGCTTCCGATGCCGGGCATCCCTCGGGGGGAATGACTTGTTTGAAGGACTTTTTATCGGGGTCGAAGAAAATCCCAAACTCAACGCCTCGCTCATACTCGAAGAAGTCGAAAGGCTATGTAAATAGGTGATCCATCGTCGATTGCGCTTCGGGTTTCAATCCTCATCTTTACTGAATCATTCTTTCAGTCCATAGTGCTTTATAATCGGGCTGTTGCTAAGTCACAAGCTGAGTCAACCCCTTATGAGGAAGAATGTAGGAGGCTCTCGTCAGAGGCTGACGAGTTCAGAGCCCTTTTAGCAAAAAGGGAGGAAGAACTTCATGACCTTCGAGCCCATTCGGAGGCAGTGTCTCGAGAGCGGACTGATCTTGCGGAGCAGGTAACACAGTCTCTGCAAGCTTTTATTTTCGCGCCAGTCCGACTTCAGCACTTAACACTTTGGGTCGATTTTTGTAGCTTGAGAAAAAAGATGCCCTGATGAGGGAGGGGCTCGGAGCCAGGGATACTGAGATTCTCGGACTCAAGCAGTGCATGGATGAGGCAACCTCCGAGAGATATGCCCTTCAAGAGAGGTTGACCTCGGCTGAGCGTCATCTCTAAGACGTGAGGGCAGATAGTAGCAAGTATAAGGATCTCCATGCCAAAGCGGTCGCCACGCTATCTGTAGCCAAATCTGAATACGACGAGCTCATGTCCTTGTATCGAAAAGATGCTGATGATGTGAATGCTCGGGCCAGGAAGGTCTCTGAGAATGCCGAGTTTGAACTGGCCCGAGCCTTGGAGCGTGCCCGGTTAGAGTCTCGAAGATAAGCTCTCGAGGATGTATATGCAAGGGGCATTGATTTATGTGTTGAGATCGAGAAGCTGAAGGCCTTAGCGGAAGAGTCGGCAGCCTCGCTTATTTCTGATGAGGCTTCAACTAGTGGCTCAGAGAGCGGTGGAGATGTAGAAGAAGTCCCCGAGGGGGAAGAAGCCGTTGATGACCAGGGTGCTGAGGTTAAGCTGTTGAGGCGCAGCTCCTGAGGGAACTCCATCCGACCAAGTGACTCCGGCCGAGGATTAGGCTTTCTTTTCATTTCTGTGTAAGGGCCCTTTGTGGGCTTTGTAAACATTTTTCACCAATATAAGAATTTCCTTTATTTCACTTTCGATCTGTGTTGAGCCCCATTTTGCTTTTGTTTGCGAAGAATTCAAATGTGTGACTCTAACGATTAGACCGAATACTGGGCCCGGAACATCACAAACCCTTAGGTTATTAATCGATTGATACGATGGTTCTTAAAATCATTTGTTACCTTTCTGACTAAGCTTGGATTGATTTGATGCGAGCTTAGGTCATCGGGACTTCCGATTCCGAATTGGGTGGGAGCTGGATCTATTAAGAGTTTTCTTGAACTAACTTTTGGACTTAGCTACCGTGGGTGTTCGTTCGATCGTCTGAAAATAAGGATAGCCTTTAGGCTTTTACAAACAGTCCCCCGAGCGAGGACTTACTCGAACTTGGGTAGCCTTTGAGCTTAATAGTCGAGCGAGCGTTTGTTCATACTCGAAGTAAGGATGGTCCTGAGGCATTATGAGTAGTCCCCGAGTGGGAACTCGAGTAACCTTTGGGCTTACTAGTCGAGCGAGCGTTCGCTCGAAATCGAAGTAAGGATAGCCCTGAGGCTTTACGAATACTCCCCGAGTGAGAACTGGATCGAACTCGGGTAGCCCTTGGGCTTAATAGTCAAGCGAGCGTTCGCTCGAACTCGAAGTAATGATAGCCATGAGGCTTTTTAGGCTGGCCCTTAGGCTCTTACGCATTGGCCCTTAGGCACTTCTTAGATTGGGTCGATGCGACCTCTGATATGGCTATGGTTTTTCCCTCATTTTGGCTAAAGATTTGATTATGCCTTGGCATGTTTTATGTTCGTCCGACTTTTCAACGACTCAAATAAGAACCTCGATTATGAGTCCATTGTGACGATAATTGAGTACCTCGGGAGGTTCTCTTGAAGGTTGATTTTTCGAAGCCTTTTTGCTGAAGGCTGATTGTCTCGAAGCCTTTTCATTATTTGGAGCTGATATGATCGAAGATCTTTTGCTTATGCCAAGGGTAGCCTGATTAATCGGTTCTTTTAGATGTATTTTCGAAGTATTTGGAGGCCTTTAGTTTTGTAGCGGCAGTCGTATGTCTCTGAGTCATGTTAGCTCGGACTAGCCTTTAGTTCGACCGTAGTCTTTATGTTTGGCCATATCCTTTAGTCCCCGTGTGCGTTTACCTTGGCGTCTATATCAAGGGTATGCCTTTTTATGGGTCTTATAAGTTCGATATATAGCCTTGGCCTTAATATTGGGGTTATGCCTTTTTAAGGTCTTATAAGTTTGAGCACGCCTTCTTGAGGGCTTACAGGTTTGATGTTTCCTCAGTGAGGGCTTACGAGCTTGAAGTTTGCCTGATCAAGGTCTTACGGATTCCAAGTTTAGATGGCTCGATGAGCTGACTGTCGAGGAGAGTCCCCGAGTGTTCGAAAGTTTTTTGCTCTTCGGCCGTTTTACATGACAGTATTGAACTTCTTTGAGGCGCAAAGTGTTTTGATAAGCAAAGAGGCTTCCTTGATTACTTGATACATGCATACATGCTTTTTGCTTCTGGAGGCTCGATTATTCTACATGGACACGGTTCATTTGACCGTTTGGCCCTATACAACATTCTCCTATCGAGGTCCTCCTAGGCATAGTTTGATGTCTTCGAGGGGTAACCTCCTGGAGTGATGCCCCCCAGTATTTGAGGTTGATCGAAGGGAAGCCTCGAATACTTGATGAGTTCTCCTTGGGTAGCATATGGATGCTGCCTCGTTAAAAACCTCGCCGGTAAAACCCGTTCGGGATAAGACCCGATCTAAGGGAAAAAGAGCGCAACGCATGCTTGAAAACCCATGGTCTTCGATCTGGAGGGTGCTTTGGGTCCTCTCAATCGAACGCCTGCAATAAGTTAGTATAAAAGATAAATGAAAAGGGAGAGGGTTATACCTTATCAAAAATAGCGTTTGAGCATCGATATGTTCCAATTGCTTGGAAGTTGCTCGCCTTCCATGGTGCCGAGTTTATAGGACCCCTTGCCCACTACTCCGAGGATGCGGTACGGTCCTTCCCAGCTCGGGCCTAGTTTCCCTTCGTTTGGCTTTCGGGTGTTGAGCGTGACTTTTCTTCGGACTTAATCACCGACTCTGAAGTATCGGAGGTTTGTTCTCCTGTTATAATATCTCTCGATCCTCTGTTTTTGGGCGGCCATTCGAACTAGTGCAGCCTCTCGCTTTTTATCTAGTAGCTCGAGGGCTGTAGTCATGGCCTCGCTGTTCAAGTCCTCAGTGGCATGCCGAAATCTGGCACTTGGCTCTCCAACCTCGACCGGTATCAGAGCCTCGGACCCATATACTAAAGAGAACGGTGTTTCTCCTGTGCTCGACTTTGAATTTGTTCGGTATGCCCATAGCACTTCGGGCAATACCTCTCTCCATTTTCCCTTCGCATTTTCTAACTTCTTTTTCAAGTTTTGGATGATGGTCTTGTTTGTGGACTCGGCCTGTCCATTTGCACATGGGTGATAGGGTGTTGACAGGATTCTCTTGATCTTATGATCTTCGAGGAATTCCGTCACCTTGCTGCCTATGAACTGCTTCCCATTTTCACATGAAATCTCGGAAGGGATCCCAAATCGGCATATGATGTGGTCCCAGATGAAGTTGATGACTTCCTTTTCTCTTATCTTCTCGAAGGCCTGTGCTTCCACCCATTTCGAGAAAAAGTCAGTCATAAACAGAATAAATTTGGCTTTACCTGGTGCCGTTGGTAGGGGGCCGACGATGTCCATCCCCCATTTAATGAATGGCCATGGTGATAAGACTGAATGTAGCCTTTCACCGGGTTGGTGGATCATCGGCGCAAACCTTTGGCATTTATCACATCTTCGAACGAATTCCTTGGTGTCCTTCTCCATGCTGTCCCAATAGTAGCCTGCCCTGATCACCTTCCGAACCAAAGAATTGGCGCCAGAATGGTTTCCAAAGTACCTTCGTGAATCTCTCAAAGTACGTAATCGGTGTCCCCAGGTCCCAAGCATACAGCTAGAGGTCCGTCGAAGGTCCTTCTATATAGCGTTCCACTCTCGTGGAGTGAAAATCGAGCTGCTTTGGCTCGGAGGGCCCTCGACTCCTTTGGATCTGTGGGTAGCTTCCCGTTCTTCAAATAGTCAATGTATTTGTTCCTCCAATCCCATGTTAGACTTGTTGAGTTAACCTCGGCGTGTCCTTCTTCAATCACCAACTTGGATAGCCGGACAACGGCCCCTGGGAGTATGTCATCTTCTTCGACAGAGGACCCCAAGTTCGCGAGCGAATCGGCCTCACTGTTCTGTTCTCGAGAAATATGGACCAGAGTCCATTCTTTGAAGCGATGCAATATGACCTGAAGTTAGTCCAAGTATCTTTGCATCCTGTCTTCTAGGACCTTGAAGCTTCCATTTACTTGGTTAACTACCAGGAGGGAGTCGCATTTTGCTTCGACGATTTCTTCTCCTAGGCTCTTGGCCAACTCGAGACCTACAATTATAGCCTCATACTCGGCCTCGTTGTTAGTGAATTTTGGAGTTTTTATAGAATGCCTAATCATTCCGCCTGTAGTCGGCTTCAGAACGATGCCTAGCCCGAACCCTTTTACGTTCGAGGCTCTGTCGGTGAATAGGGTCCATACTCCCGATGATGTGCCCACTTCTAGCAAGAGTTCTTTCTTTACCTCGGGCACGAGGGCGGGCGTAAAATCAGCCACGAAGTCCGCCAAAATTTGGGACTTGATAGCCGTCCGAGATTGATATTCGATATCATACCCCCGAGCTCGATGGACCATTTGGCCGATCTGCCCGATAATTCAGGCTTGTGCAAGATGTTTCGACGAGGGTATGTTGTTAAAACACATATACGGTGGCATTGAAAATACGGTTTGTGTTTCCGAGATGCACTTATTAATGCAAGAGCTAATTTTTCTAAGTGGGGATACCTGGTTTCTGCGTCTCCCAGAGTCTGACTCACGTAATAAACAAGGAATTGAGCACCTTGTTCTTCCCAAACCAACACACCACTTACTATTACTTCGGATACGGCCAAATATAAGTATAACGTTTCATCCTCTTTCGGGGTGTGGAGCAAAGGCGGGCTCGAGAGATATCGCTTTAACTCTTCTAAAGCGTGTTGGCATTCCGGAGTCCACTCAAAGCTGATTTTCTTTTTGAGCAAGGAGGAGAAATGATGACTCCGATCTGACGATCTTGATATGAACCGGCCTAAGGCCGCTATCCGCCCGGTCAGCCGCTGCACGGCCTTCACATTGTTCACCATTGTGATTTCTTCAATGGCTTTGATTTTGTCGGGGTTGATCTCGATTCCCCTATTTGACACCATGAACCCCAAAAATTTGCCTGATCCTACACTGAAGGCACACTTCTTGGGGTTGAGCTTCATGTTGTAACTTCTGAGGATATCGAATGTTTCCTGCAAATGAGTCAAATGGTCCTCTGCGCACAGGGACTTAACTAGCATGTCATCAATGTAAACTTCCATAGATTGGCCTATTCGATGTTCGAACATCTTATTAACTAGGTGATGGTATGTAGCTCCTTCGTTTTTTTAGCCCGAAGGGCATTACATTATAAATGTATGTACCATACTTTGTGATGAACGAAGTCTTTTCCCTGTCCTCTGGGTTCATTTGAATTTGATTATACTCGGAGTAGGCGTCGAGAAAAGTGAGGATCCCGTGGCCGGCCGTGGCATCGATCAAGCGATCGATGTTGGGCAATGGGAATAGTCTTTGGGGCATGCTTTATTCAGGTCTTTATAATCTACGCACATTCTTAATTTATTTCCTTTTTTGGGAACCACTACCACATTAGCCAACCATTCGGGGTATTTTACCTCCCTAATCGACCCTATTTTGAGGAGTTTTGTTACCTCGGCTTTGATGAACACATGTTTTACCTCGGATTGGGGCCTCCTCTTTTGCTTTACTGGTTTGAACCTGGGATCAATACTTAGTCGATGGGTGGTTATTTCCGGCGGGATCCCTGTCATGTCTAAATGGGATCAAGCGAAGCAATCAATGTTGTTAATAAGAAATTGAATGAGTTTTTCCCTGAGTTTGCGGTCAGTCCCGTTCCCAGGTATATCTTTCGATCTGGAAGTTGCTCGATCAGGACGGCTTGCTCGAGTTCTTCGACCGTTGATTTTGTTGCATCCGACTCCTTGGGGGCAACAAAGGTACGAGAGGTGATGAAGTCTTCTTTGTCATCCCCATTCGAGTGTTCACAGACCACCTGTTCCTCGAGGATTAACCTCTTTCCTGACTCGTCCTGAACGGGAAGAGTCGATGCTGGTGCCATGTCGTCTACCGAGAACATCTCCTTAGCTACATGTTGTTCTCCGTACACCGTTTTCATACCGTCTTTTGTTGGGAATTTCATCATTTGGTGAAGAGTTGATGGTACCGCCCTCATGTTGTGTATCCACGGTCTTCCAAGTAAGGCATTGTATCTCATGTCACCTTCGATGACATGAAACTCGGTACCTTGGATTGTACCAGCTACGTTAACTGGGAGGATGATTTCCCCTTTTGTTGTTTCGCTCACCATGTTGAATCCATTGAGGACTCAAGAGGCGGGTACGATCTGGTCGAGCAGTTCGAGCTGCTCCACCACCCTCGACCTGATTATGTTGGCCGAGCTACCTAGATCCACGAGCACACGTTTAATCTGAATTTTATTCAAGAGAAAAGAAATTACCAGTGCGTCATTATGAAGCTGAGACAGGGTCCTGATGTCCTCTTCGCTGAATGTGAGAGCATCCTCTGGTATGTAACTCCGATTTCGCTTTTCCCTGGTGACGGATATTTTTTCTGTTCAAAAGCGGGTTTGTGCGGGACGTCGGCCTCTTCAACAATCATGCAGATGACGTGCGGTGGTTCTTCTGGTTCGTTTTTTCTGTTTGCCTTTCTATCCCGGAATTGGTTTTTAGCTCAGTCGCTGAGGCATTCTCGAAGGTGCCCTTCATTGATCAATCGGGCTACCTCTTCTCGGAGTTGTCTGCAATCTTCGGTCCTATGACCGTGAGTTCCGTGATATTTGCACATTAAGTTAGGGTTCCTCTGTGAAGGGTCTGATAATATGGGTTTCGGCCACCTGGTATCTTTGATTTTCCCTATGGCTGATACGATGCCCGAGACATCGATGCTGAAGTTATACTCAGATAGCTGGGGTGCCTCTACCGGCCCAGTATGCCTATCGAACCCTGCTTTACTCGTAAGTCCCCAAGAATTTTGACCTCGATCTACCCTTCGATCGCTTCGAGGCATGTTACGCCTTGGTGCGTTTCTTCGATCTTCTACGTACGGCTGGTATCTTTCTTTGTTTGATCTTGGCTCCCTTTCTGTAAACCTTTTCTCCTTTGTTAAGAGCCTGCTAGGATATACTGAGCCCGAAGGGGCTCCTAATTGGTCACCTTCGACCCTGATCTTCGACTGGTATCTGTTGTGCACGTCCGCCCAAGTTACGGCGGGATACTCGATCAAATTTTGTTCTAACAGCCTCGAAGCTACCGAGCTTCATTCGTTCAAGCCTTGAGTGAAGGCCTGTACTTCCCAGTCATCGGAGACGGGTGGTAATTCTATTCGTTCCATCTAAAAATGAGATACGAACTCCTTTAGCATCTCGTTCTCTCTCTATTTGATTTTGAAGACATCGGACTTCCTGGTGGCGACCTTGATGGCACCAGCGTGTGCCCTCACAAAAGAATCTGCCAACATGGCAAATGAATCTATCAAATTTGGGGGTAGGTTATGATACCACATCATAGCCTCTTTCGACATTGTTTCTCCAAATTTTTTTAGCGAGACGGATTCAATTCATCATCTTTCAAGTCATTCAACTTTACGGCACAAGTGTAGGCGGTAATGTACTCGTTGGGGTCCATGGTCCCGTTATATTTCGGGGCGTCGGGCATTCTGAACTTCTTCGGGATGGACTTCGGAGCCGCACTTGGCATGAATGGTTTCTGTATGAATTTCTTTGAATCTACGCCCTTCAGAATTGGGGGCGCGCCCAGGATCTGATCGACCCTCGAGTTATTGCTCTCCACCCTTTTATCGTTATTTTTTTATCTTCTTTTCTCCTGATTCAATTCTTTTGGTGAGATCCTCGAGCATCTTCATAATAGCGGGGTCAGCTGCTGACCCGTTGTTGCTCGATCTCTCCGGTACCTGCTCGACTCGAGGAGCCGTTTCCGGTGCTACTGTGCTTGGGGTTTTTTGGTGGCTTTGTAGCTGAGCAATAGCCACCTGCTACGCTTGTAACATTTCAAATATGACTTGAAGACTAACGTCTCTTTCCTCGCCTCGCGCGCTTCCATTGGTAGGAGAGCTTACATCGACATGCACAGCATTCCGTGAGCTTACGTCGATGGCGATTTGTGCTGGTGCCTCCCCTGGCTTTTGCGGTGGTACACCGGCGTCTGCGCCGTTTTCTCCCTGGAGCCCAATGCCGTTGTTTTCACGTGCATTTGCTGAGTTAGACATTTTGAAATGAAATCAAAGATTCTTGGACAAGAAAAAGCGTGAAGGATAACTTGTGTTTTCAGAAAACTAGCACCAAAACAATTACTATTATTTTTAGCCCCACGGCGGGCACCAAACTGTTTACCTTGAAAATGGTAACTACATTTATATTTCATTTTGTGGTTCTAAAAATATGTGATTTATCTTAATACTAGTTTTTAGGCAATGGATGCTAGGTGTGAGTAAAAAAAATAAGAAATGCAAACCAATAAGGTCACAAGGCTGGACCTCGAGCTAGTTGGAGCAGGGCCTCGAGGTCTAGACGGGCTAATAGCTACGAACGATCGATGAAGAATCAATGATAATGAGGGCCTTAAAGATTGCCTTTTGCGGTTAATGATGAGCAATAAATGAAGAACAATAATGAACAATGAAAGAATAAGCAATAAATGTGAAGAACAATAGTGTTAGCAAAGAGAGCAGAGAATGTTGAATTCAATATGATGTGTATTAATGCGGATCCCCCTACAAAATGACCAGGGTCCCCTTTATATAGGAGGGGGGAATCTTTGTATAGTACACGTCTAATCATGATAGGGAGATGCTATTAGTACAGGTGTATAATGGCTTAGTAAGGATTTGTATTGCCCTTTGCAGGCTTTGTCAGTCCTCATCACGTGTCTTCAGGAGCCTTCCACCTTTTCGAAATGGTCATCGTATTACATGCTGCCTCGAGGTGCGTCACGGTGAGTCTCCGATATGCCATGCTGAAGCGAGAGCTTCGAGGACGAGCCTCGGGCGGTGCTTCGATCCCGTCGAGGCCGATCGAAGCCTTAAAATCGAGCCTCGCTAATTTTAACCGTATACATATACATCTCAACTCATAATCAAGATAAACAATTTACTCACTCACTTCACAAAATAAGCATGATACACTTCTAACTAAAAGAAAATTCTAAGAAACAGTCATAATTGCAGTCATGAACAAGTGAGGGCATCGGATTTTCACATCCCTCGTCGGCCCTCCTAGTGGCCTTCTCAACATCGTGATTACGCCATAATACTTTCACTAAATTTATTACTCTTTTTCTCAACGCACAAACTTGCATCACATAAGTCTCAGTCGATTCTTCCTCGTAAATAAAATCACCATTATCAATATCTAAACGTGCTACCAAAAATAGAAAATAGTATTACCTCTAAGGCTATCTCATGTACCTTAGAAATCACACGGGCCTCATCGTCCATATACTCTCGTAGTTAGGCAATTATAACACCAGATCCACTAAAGGCAGTTCCATTAGCAAAGTAAAATCACATGCACACCTCCGCTCTTTCTAGAAACCTCACGCAACCTCGAGAAAGCATGCGCTTCCATATGGGCTTTGCAACACCTTTTATTAACAATTCCCTTTTATGGATATTATACCATATTTCTTTAACCCATGTTCTTGGTGAAGTCCGTCTAAATAATCACTTTACATGTGAGATGTCATATATTTATTTCCATCCCTACGTCTCTTGTAGTTCTTTTAGAACTAAAGTTTTATCATAACTCTTAAAGTAACATTGCATAATTCGTCTTCCATATGGGTGGTACGTCTCTGAAATGGGGATTAATGTGACCACCTTGGAGAAGAATTTCCCGGATGTACTCGCTCTGTTCAGAGATATGAATATGGACAAGTTCCTTGAGTGCTCGGGACATGAAAATTTGAGCATGGTAAGGGAGCTATATGCAAATTGGAATGAGCATCGGTTCATGTCGCGCGGAAAAGAAGTGCCATTGGATAAGGCATCCTTATGCAAATTCTTAAGAGTTGATCGCCCTATTCCGAGGAGGCTACAAAAGTTTGTTAAGTGTCCAAGCTATCAGGCAATTCGTCACACTCTATGTGGGGTCGATTCTAATGCAAAATGGACGAGGATTAAGGGTGATGCACATCTTGAGATGATCCGATTTGACTTAAACAAAACTGCCAAGGTGTGACAGAACTTTATGCAGGCCAGACTGATGTTGGTAGAGCACAACAGTGAGTGCACTCGAGCCCGGGTGTGTTTGATTTTTTTGATGACTGGACGACCCATCAATGTGGGTGAGATCATCTTAGGAGAGATGGCCCACACACGGCTTGGGCGGAAAATAAAAAGATTCATCTTTGGCAACATGTTGAAGCAGTACATGCTCTCTCGTGATGTACCTGAGTACCCCGGTTATAATGAGGTGGTGGAGGCACCAAAGGGATTGATGGCATTACTTCCTTGTTGGAGTCTACATCCAAGCTGAGCCAGGCTGCACGGAATTAGAGGGATGAAAACTTCAACAGATATCTATATAGCTCCCTGAATGTGATAATGAGCAAGTTGAGCATGACGGATGAGGAGCGTATGCATACGCAATGATCTGTCCAGTTCTTCAAAAGAAATGTTAGAAATTGCATCTGGTAGTCCCATTTACCCGTCAGAGGATGAAAACACCCACAAGGGCTCAGATGATGAGGATGATATTGATGCTAATGTCATGGGGCCAATGACTTTGGTGCCCCTGGGAGCGGATAATGATGAGCCCGGAGCTTCGGCTGGTGGGTGTTCTGAAGATGAAGGATCCGAGTATGACCCTCATGGGTCCGACTAGCAGGGAGTTCTTCTTTCCACCTTACTTTGTTTTGAATTTTATTATGCATCGGGGACTATGCATAATATAAGTATGGCACAGTGGGGGAACTACTTTCTAAATTGTAATTATATAAAACTATTTTTTTATTAGTTTGTCTTTCAGAACTTGTAGTAGACATAGTCTAGTTAGTTAATAGTAGTCCAGTTTAAAAAAACGAAAATAGAAAAAAGAAATCAGTAAAAACTCCGACTTTTTCCGACGATGGATCTCTTGGACAATTTTCTTGAGGGATTAAAGTCCAATTAAAAATACCAAAAAGGTAGTATCTCTTGGGTTTTCTTTGGCGCCGGTTCTTTTCCAAGGGTGTAGCTTGAACCGGGTACTTTATTTTTTTTAGGAGTAAGATAAGAAGAAAACTGAGTTGCTCTAAGATACTTGTTGACATGTTTGGTGCTGGCACATTAGGCTATGGCATGCGCTCTGTCTTCCTGTTATATTTGATTTGAATTTTGATGCCTAAGTAATATAAATAGCCTACTCTGTGACGACTTTTCTCAGTTGTTTGACTTGTATGTCACCTAGTGCATTATTGCTTAAAATTTCTCTATTATATGTACTTGCTTGACTTGAGAGTTGAACAGAACAGTGTTGATTGAGCCATGTGCAATGTGTGTGTGAGGATTTGTATTCTTCTGTGCTATCTTGTGTAGTCTAGAACTTGCCCCGTATGTTAGCAAAAGTGTTAAGTTGTGCTAGTCTAGGAGATGACATAGACGTTTCTTGCTTGATCATAGATGTGCTTGTTACATACAAATAAAAAATTTCCATTGCTAGCCCCTTTGAGCCTATAGACCTTTTCTTTGTCACCCACATTACAAGTTGTATCCCTATTTTGTTCTTAATTTGAGCTTGTTGAACTTTTACCTCTAAAGGAACTTAGGAGCTAAAAGAAGTAAGGTAAGAGATTGGGAAGTAGCTTTCGAGTGGAGCCATGGCAGGGTCTTCAAGGTGTACTGAAGTTGTGAAACATACCACAAATCGATGAACCTTAATGTATGGAGTGTGTGTAAAAAAAGAGAAAAGAAAATTACAAGAAAAAGAAATAGACAAATAATGGTGATAGTCAAAAAGAAGAAAAACACACACCTCCTAATCGTACTAATTCGTGCTAGTGCAGATGTAGAAGTGCTTAATTGAAGAAAGGGCTATGTTGTGTATGGTTTGTGGTGAGTGAATTGGTTGAGAAGAAAACGTGCTTGACTCTTGAATGTAGTTTATTAAAATGCTTAGGAGGGTTAGTCAATATTCCTAAATGTTTCCTACCCGTCCCTTAGCCTACATTACAACCCATAAAGTCCTAATTGATCCTAGACTTGGCTAGCTTAGATTGGTAGAGATATACACTATGGGCAAGCTTATGGTACGACCACAGGATGCACATGAAATTCTTTGTGAGAATGAGCGACTTTTATTCAATTGTGTGAAGTCCTTAATTTATGTTCAAAGTCATATTTGAATGTGTGGACTATTTCTATATTCACTCTCTTGTTTGTTGGTGAGGGCACATGATCTCATGACGGATTGGTAATGTTGTTAACTTATTTTGTTGGGTGAGTGCGCGAGTTGAGGGTGCTTAGTTTTAACGAGTCGGCTCTTGATGTAAGGTGGTTATGGATAGGTTGTTTAAATTGAATGTTTATACTTAGGCATGTTTAAAACGGAAAGAATGTGAATTTCGTATGTTCATGCTTGATTGACGGTACCGACCAAAGTCAAAGGTAGAGTGTATGATTGAAGAATTGAATTGCTCCTCTCTTGTTGAGATGTACATTGTTGGGGTGTAGTTGATAGTCCCGTTGCTCGAGGGCGAGCAAGAGTCTAAGTGTGGGATGTTGATATTTGGCTTAAAGTATGTATATTTATATGGATATTGCCTCGCATTTTACTCATGTTTCGTAGATTTCGGATGTGTAATGTAATAATTTGTGCTAATTTGTAGTATTTTTATATATTGGAATCATCTGGAGGCAATATAGGACGAAAGTTCGTGAGTTGAAGCAAAAAGGGATGAAATGAGAAAAATCCACAAAGTAGCGCCCAGGCTAGCATGGGCCGCTACTTGTGGTGCAGAAATCAGAACTTCGAAATCCCCAGCGCCAGGGCGCTATGCTACCCTGGGCGCTGGTGACAGGAATTTCTCTTACCTCAACCGGAACAAGGTTATTTCGACCCAAGACACCCCCCAACTCGTATAAAAGCAAGCCTAAACCTATATTGTGAAGGTGGACGCCACTTTTAGAGAAAAATACACACGCGAAACACTTGGGAGCAAGGATTCTCAGTTTTTCTTCATCTTGCTTAGTATTCTCAATTATTCAACACTGGTGAAATTATTTTGATTTTATTATGAGTTGCTAAAACCCATAGTTTTGGGGTTGTGATTTAGCCATGAATATTGTTGTTTGACATTGATTTAACCTTGATTTTAATTTGCTGATATATTGTTGTTTCTTCAATTCTGTGATTAATTGCTCAATTGTCTGGCCAACAGTTAGATTCTATTTACTATCTATACTATTCTTGGGAAAGCTACGTCTAGAGTAGAGAAGAGTTGAAGAGGGCATGATCTTAACTCTGAGTGGAGGGCGGATTTGTGGTTAGGATAGGAATGTACCTAGTCACCATGCTCAATTGAATATCGTAATCTTAATGCGTTCTTAATAGATTGATTCCATGGGAATATAGGCATTAATCTATTTCGAATAGGCGAGTAGCAATTCGGGAGAATACTACGAGAGCAATTATTCGATAATTAGCAACCATGAGCGAATTGTATGAAAAGGAGAGTTAATTAGAACGCAATAAGATTGGTGAATCGATCACAACCCTGGAATATTCATCTCTACTGAATACACAACAATTATTTTGCTGCTGGATTAATTAGTTACTTGTTAGAATTATTGCTTAGTATAATCGCACTTTTGAACTCTGATTGACTCGACTGAATAATAATCTTGGTAAAACTAGTGGGTAGTTAACACAAGTCTCTGTGGGTACGGCATTCGATTTATCACTTTATACTTGTACGATCACATGTACTTGCGTGTGCGTTTGGGAACAACAGTGCATTTGTAGCTCAGAAACGACAGATCAGCCTAATAGTAATGTATAGGTTTTATTGGCAATTTGGCATCCAAAGAAAGTATTAGAAAATTCAAACAATCCCATTAATTACACCCAGATAACAACATTGACCCGAAGTATGAACCCTTACGCGAAAGGTCCAAGTTATATTTAGAGAATCCTATTCCCACCTACGCTGCAGTACTTGGTCAACGGGCTTTTTCCTTATTAGTAAAAGGGTAAAAAATGTCTACTCCAAAGGTTCCTATTTAAGAATTAGTCAATGCGTCAAGAATTTTAATTTTTCAGTTCAATTATATCTTAAATTGTCCTGAAATCAAGAATTTTAGTTTAAAATTTCGTGACAATAAATACTGGCTAATAGCATCCCTGAGAGTGACTATCTGTGCACTAGCTGGCAAAGGTAGAGTGCACTTCATAAAGTCGTTTATGTAGCTTCGTTAGAGAAAAGGATTGAAAATTCTAGTGGCAACGACTAATCACATTTAGCAAATCTCAAGTTCCGCTCAAATGACAGATGTTCACTTCAGAAAATTGCCATCTGAGAGATATCAGACAGTAAAGGGATTTCTCAATCTAATTGAGAATGAAATCGGACCAATATAGAGGCGATATTCAAGACTGATAGTCTGTTCTTGGATTTCAAGTACAGGGTTGCAGAATTCTTGCGTGTGATATTCCATTAATTAGGAGAGCTTAAACAAGCTCGATCCAGAACTCGGGCAAACACAAACAAACGGACAAATTTTAAAAGAGACTTGCTGATATTGCCACTATAACACAAATAGCTAGTTGGTCTCCGCTACATGACCACTCATCAAAATGTTTATCCTGCTACATGAACTGGACAACTAATGACGACCGAAGATATCGCATATATGTTTCTTATTCAGTAGTTACTATGGTGTGCTGGGAATACGTTCAGTTCCAGAAATGTGAGAGGCTGCATCATCTTTTGAAATGGCAAAATTGTTCACAGGAGCCACCTTCCTTGAGTGGTCTCTCTTCCCATCTTTAGTTGTTGACCTGGAACCATTTTGGTGTGAATTAAGAGACAGCCTTCTGTTGGCTGACCCATTGGCGCTCCCATTTGCTCGTGGACCCACCACCTTTTTTGTACCAAGTGGTCGAGCAGGGCTTGGTGTTGATCCAAATGGTGTTTCTGGTTCTTTGCTTATCTGCTCATGGAACTTCTTCTGGTCCTGCCCGACACCAAAAGAGCATATGTACTAGGTGAGGCCTTTGGATTGTCAGAATTATGGATATGAGCTTGAAAACAAGATTAGTGAAAGGTTAAAAATAAATTATCCTGACCAAGTAGCGTCAAACAAATTGATCACACACCATAAAAGATACTGCACTTACCCGCAACCTTCTTTTCTCTTCTTCTCTATCGTGCCTGAGCATCATATATTCGTCTAGCATGGCAAGCAGTGGAACACCGTCATATGTGAACGTGGTGTCCCGATCTTGTTCCCATGCTCTTGTTTTAGCAATCAAGGAGTCCACAAGAGCTACATAGACGAAAGTCAATTAGCAAATTAAAGGGATTACATCTTCAGATGAATCTTTGTTGGACTTCCTCTCGAGAGCAAAGAACCAAGGGTATTTATACCATTTAGCATTACCTGGAATTTTGTTGACCAATATCCGAGCCTTTTCGGCCCTCTTCAAATTTAAGTGTGCACCTCTGCTTGCATTATACCGGTTCTGATCCTGTTGCACGAGTCGATAATTGATGAAATTTTAATATTATATACGAGGAGATAGACACCTCCAAGTTAATTCAATGAAAGAGAGGCATGCAAAACATATTTTAACCAAAAACCAAAATCTTTCAAGTTCCACCAATCATATTTAACTATAAAAACTTGCTCATTAGCACTTCTAAATTATTAAGATATTATAGATGCAGGCAGAAGTACAAGTGTGTGTTTGTGGGCCAATTGTTGGTTATCTTCTACAGCTAACAATCAAGCACCCATTGCTATGCTTAAGGGACTTGTACCTTCAGGAAGATATCGTGGCCGTTGGTTTATTCAATTAGAAGAGGAGGGCGCGCAAGCTATATTATTATCAGTTTTGCCCATTTAGTTTACCAGTAAAGCCTTTAATTGGACCTTAAGTCCGAGTTTGTTTTAATTTGTTTTATTTTGGTCCTTGTTAGTTAGCATTTGCGGGAAAGAAATCACCTAGTATTTTTTTCTCTCCACGGGGATTTGAACTTGAGACCTCATAGTTCTCAATCCACTTCATTGGCCACTAGGCCACCGCAACACAGCTTAGGTGCTCTTTCCCTTTCTCATCTCTTCTCTTCATTTCTGTATTTTTCTGCTTGTAACAAGAAATGAGCTCAGCTCAGCTTGTGACACACATATGAGTTGAATCAATAAGCCCATTTTCACTATTGCTCCCACAACCGCTCATTTTTCTCCTAAAATTTTGATAGCTGTTTTAGTAATCAAGAACATTTTCATGCTTTAGATTCCGCTATACTAAGTAGCTAGATTTTCATAACACTTTCAAGAATCTTTCACTTTCTCATCAAGAATGCTTTACTGGCTTTTTCGACCTAATCTCCTTGGAAGCTATATGTATAAAAAGAATAACCCACGAACAGCGAGAACCTATACCCTTATTATTTCAATTACTCCCTCCATTTCACTTTTAGTGACAATGTTTGACTGGGAATGGTATTTAAGATGTGAATTTGACATGATATATTAGTGATGATGGAAAAAATATTGAATTGGAGGTTGGAAACAGAGAAAAACATCACATTAAAATAAAATCGAAGTAAGACGGTTGATAGTTTACTGATTGAAAAACAGTGAATAGTTTAATGAATTTAAATTCTTGTAAGTTGTGAAAATTGTAGAGAAATAAAATGGTGACAAACATTGTGGGAAGTCCCAAAATGGAAAGAGTATCATATGAACTGGAACGGAGGGAATACAATTTACTGGCGTCCTAGCATCGTTTTGACCAAGAAAATATGGAAGCAAAGTATGTAACCATTTAAGAAAGAGCAACGTCTTAGAAAGGAAAAAGAAGGGCAGGTGGTGTTTCCACGTTGGAGGTAGCATACTAATGGAAAGCTCGAGTCATCTCATAACAGACAGATGAAGAAGACAAGATAAACTTACCCTGTTGTAGTCTTCAAGCCAGCTCTCTTCTTCACAAGCTGCCATCCATTTCTCAACTTTTTCCAATATCTCTTTCCTGCTATGAGCCTCTTCATTTGCCTTTACAATCTGGTTGTCCATGTCTGTGAGTAACTCAGCAGGCTCAATATTCCCTGATTCAATTAGTGTCATAATCTTCTGTCGAGCAGCCTCAGAGTCAATCTCTACGTGGGCATGAGCAAAAATCTCTTCAAGCACTGCCTGCTTTTTGAAAGCAATCTCCTTCATCCTGCTAGCTTTTAGCTGATCAAGTCTTTCAACTTCCACTTCAGCCTGGGCGATAACAAGCTAATAACAATTACCAACAAGCAATTGTAAATGCACAGATGAATTTTAAAATGCATACCATCTCTTAATACCTGTTCAATCAGATCAAGAGCAAGAGCCCCAGGAATAGACACTTCATCAACTGAAGCCGATATGTTGCAGGTAACATGGTCAAACAAGCTTCTTTCTTCTTCAGGTGTATCCATCAAATTCCATAAGTCAATCAGCTGAGCTGTTAATTCTTGAAGCTGCAAGAGGGGATTGACGTTAGAAGAGAGAACATGTCAAAGAAATGGAGGCTGACCAAAATATTTATCATCTAGACATGAGAAACCATTGGTTCGACATATCTGGAGGTCCCAGTTCAATTGCATCTTGATGTGATTCCCAAATAATACTGAAAATAATGCACAGAAGCAAATAAGCATTGGAAAAACACCTCCTACATCGGTAAGCGCTATCATGGGCAGTTGAATGAACTATATAGTGATTACAACAATGCAGAGAAGAAAATTTCCTATCATGATCAGAGGATGGACAAACAGATTCCATATCCAGCAATTTCCATTTGTTCAGTATATACAAAATCTCCAGTACTTAAGAATCCAAGTACTGTAAAACACAATTTGAAATAACTTCTGGGAATTTCAAAATATGCCCAATGAATTGACTGTTTGCTTGACTGTACATTCTAACTTGATTTGAAGAGCTAGGCCAAGTGCAAGGACCAACCCAAAACAGTGAGGACATTACCTTCTGCAGTCTTTGCTTCTTATCTTCTGTTAATGCTAAGACGGTTCTTGAAAGATTTGATAGTGTGTCATTGCTTATACTTTTTGATTGTACACCAGTAGAATCATTCAGGCTTGGGTGAACTTCAGTGATAGTACTAAAGAAGTCCAAGCCAAGAACAGCACATAGATCATGTATGGTGCTCACGAACTCAAGGACTTTGTGCAGTCTCTCACTCTGCAATATTAAACAAAGATGTGTGGTTAATAGCTCGTTGGAGGATAAACTAGACTAGTAAAGGAATAGATCCTACTAAAATATGGCTAAACCTTTTCTTTTTGAAGCTCTTGAAGTTGTGCTTGAAATTCATCCAACTTCTTCAGAGATAAATCAGACTCATCTACTTTAGGATTCTCTACATGCTCGCTAATCCCAGCAATCTCACTGCTAATCTTTTCAATTTGCGCTTGTACGTCGAAGAACTCTTTTACCCTATCCTCTTTCTGTTTCCACAAGTTTTCCAGCGCTGGTGCTATAGCTGCAAGTTGTTCCTTGATTGAGCCTGAAGCCTTCTCAGGCTGCAAATCAAACCCAAGATTTTGAAAAAATAAAAACGAATATTAGAAAAAGGTAACAGTCTAATGACTTCCAATTGCAAACCAAGAATTTTTAAATAGTTCTGTACATCCATAGCCAAACTGAAATACAGCCACTCACAATTCCAGCATATGTTTTCTCTCCGAGTGCTGCTAGCAGCCTGCAGAGTTCAATTTTGGCATCTGCCAATGCCTCCAGAAGGTGAGCCCGTGACTTCACTGCTTGGTCAACCTTTCTCTTGTAGACATCCAAGCACTCTCTGTCTATCTGAAGAAGCATCTCATGCCACTCGTCATCAGTTTGACCAACCTCATCCCAAATTTGCTGCATTGACAGAAAAGTGTATTTCACCATCACTAGATTATACTAATGATAATACTGCATAACTCTAGCAGCTATTGCATGATTATTTCTTACAGAAGTTTAACACCAAGAATTAATTCAGAAAAAAGTAATTGCCTGCAACTGTTGTAGTAGGGAACCACAAGTTGTTTCTCCAATAACAGGATTTTCAGCATCCACTGCTGCCATCTTCAGTAACTCGGATCAAACCTGAAACAGATATAAAACCAAGCTAAATTTCAGAGTACAACAATATATATCGAAAGAATATTATTTAAACAGCATTTTAAAAGCATTTTCTTTTTGTTGCGCTAATAAATATAGAGTATACCTAATATCCACCAATGGTATAAAGAATTTTTACACTATCAGGTCACCTTTATCGTACCAGGTGACCTGCCTTATTCCCACTTTTTATGGAGGGTTACCTGCAAATTACGTAATTTGAATGACCTGATTGTGTAATTATTTATTTACACCGTCGCACACATAAGTTAAACTCATAAATACATACCGTGTGAATCAGTTCTGAAATTAACTGAATTTTTTGCTAGATAAAGCCCAATAAGACTAAAAAAGAAAGGGCTACTACAGTGGACTGTAGAGCTGTGATCTCCATAGTTGGTCACAAAATAAGTGATAAAATCATTTGAAAACCTCAGTTAACCTTTAAACTCTGACAGCAAAAGGTTTGACAGCAGACACACTATGACTACAATGCTAAGGCTATTGACTGGAAAATCCTCAAGCAACGCACCGGACACATTCCAACACCGAGCCATAATCAACTTAAGACCAAATTAGTACCTTTTACATACACAAATGCAATTCAATTTAAGACAAAATCACAATAATTGAATGCCATAAATACTTGAAAACGAATAGACCTCTAAAAAGAACACTGATAAAAAACTGGAATTACACTTAAGCGATAAGCTCATCGCTTGTTTTTTCTATACCGAAAAAGTAAAACCAACAAAGAATAGTTGAAATGAAGGGAAAGCTTACCCAGATCGTACTTGAAGAGTAGGGTTTTGTTTTCTGAGAGAATGTGGTCACAGATCTGCAGGGTTTACTTCACATTCACTATATCTATATGAGTGTGTGCGCGCGCGCGCGTGTAATCAGTGAGTAGAAACTAGAAAGAGTGATCCAAGGACAGAGAAAAGGATATATATCTAATCTAGAGTGAAGAAATAATGAGAAAAGTGGGGCCGCCTAATACGACAACGTATATAAATAGTCAATACAGAGAAGAGTTTCTTTGCCAGTTCTTATTTGGAACTATTTACGAATATGACACTGAGGCAACCTGGAGACTGGCATTTCTGAACATATAAGACTATAATTAAAGAAGTCTTACATTTCCATTTCATTGCTTATCTAAGTGGAAGTATTATACTATACTATCTCTGTCTAGATTTAATAAATGATCATGTGTTTTTCTTAATTCTAAAGATAAAAATCCAAAATGCTTGTACTTTTACATCTATGAGATAACTGTTTACCCTTAAAATTGAATTACAATTAAACTTATAATGTGGTTTTAATAATACGTGATTTCACCTAATACCAATTGATAAATGTGGATATTAGTGATAGAAATTAACAACAAATTAAAGCAAATCAGTGTTTGAAATGGAATTCAACCCTCGAGTTAGAATGCCCTCGAACTGATCGATACCAGAACAAGCAAAAATAAGGCAAGCTGATGAACAAGAGAGTATAAGCTAAAAAGAGTATTATGTTGCTTTGATATGTGAGAATCCAAGTCCCTTACAAATGATTGAAACCCCTCTTTATATAGTAGAGGAATTCTAATTATGGTATAACTCTAATTACAGAAGGAAATCTCATGACTAGTTAATTAACCGTTCTTGATTTTATCCGTTTCGAGATTCCCACCATGAACTTCGACCAGTCACGCATATCTCTCCTTTCTGTTGTTATGACATCTTCGATCTTGCTCGATGTCTGTCTCGTTTGGTCTCGATCACTACTAGCCTCGATCTCGACAAGTACCTCGAACCCCGAACTCGGTACCCGATCCTCATGCCTCGGTCTGATCTATTACGGGATCGGTCTTCGATCCTTCATCCTGGTCTCGGCAAATCAGTAAAATCGGGTAGGCCCGATTTTAAACGTATTCAATAACTACTAGAGATTTAATGCAAGATTTGGTTAAATACAGTAAAAGAGAAATCATGTCGACAGATAGTCCTTATATTTTTACTTTAACTTCCTCTAGATAAAATTGGTTGAGCAACTATTCTCGACAATCAATCAGTCACGAATACATCGTCTTTCCGATTTTAGACATGATGATAAAAACATTAGAAGCAAAATATCCTTGAAAACAGAGAGAATGGGAGAGGATCAAATTAACTTCGATAGGTTAGTGATATTCTTAGAAGAAAAGCAAAGAGTATGGAAAGAAAACTTGAATGAAATTAAGGAGAACTAAATGAGAAATCGTACGGAGCTTTATCTATTACCACTTGTTCTTATTCTATTAAGTGCCTACACTCCCAAACCCATTTTTCATTTGTTGGAGTTCGCCTTGGAACATTGACGTTTATGATATTTTACTTGACATGACCTTCCTCAATTGATCAATCATGGTAATCTCCTTTATCATCGACTAATTAAATTACTCTAAAAGTAAAGCTAAGCCACTATACTTGTATTATATTATCCTATATACGGCTATAAATTGTAAAAGAAAAATGATCTAGAAGTGATGATGCCAGTTGGATTAAATACTAAAATATTTTAACAAAGTAATGGTATAATATATATATATGAATATTAACATGCTGACTTTCTTCAGTTGAAACATAATAAAGGGAGAAGAACTTAGTGGGGATTTTCTAAGGCTGGACTTTGTAGGGGCAAATGCGCAATTAAGAGAGATATAAAGGGCATATGAGTAAAGAAAGCATCAATAAAATCTTTGAGTCATTTCGCCTTGATTAGAGGCAAAAGTTGTGATGGTTGCTAGATGTCATCACGAATCAATGGTCTTAACTCTTAATCAAGCCGAGTGGTGTGGAATCAACACACACTCATTACACAAATTAGTTATTCCTATGTGCTGGTGTAACGGATGAGCTATTCTTTTCTTAACATTCGAGCAATGAGTACGAAAAAATTCATGGTAGGGAGAGCTTCACCCGATTGAGATCCTACATGACGCGAACTCAAATATAGTCGGGCTCGAATGCGGCAGGGAAACCAAAAGAACACTACCTACAATACAAACAATACGCCGCATACGATTTTGGTATACATAAAATAACCATTTTGGAACAATCATTTGATTTTGTTCATTTTTAACTGTCTTGATATCTCTAATCTTATTATACATAAAATAATATATCAATCCTCGTATAAGCTATCCCAAAATTAGTATAAAATTTGATTTCTTGCATTAAATTTCGAGGTAATCTATGTGGAATTTAATCCAGAAATTGAATGTTGTTCTAGTCGTACAGGATTATACTATGTGTGATTTTATTTAAAAAAATCAAACGATCGACTTACAATTATTTTGAAGTTGAAAAGTGGATTTCAGGCGAATTGCACGAAGGTTTATTGAATAGGTGCCCTGGACCAGATTGGCACATTCTCCCATATGTATACCTTGGGCATCGCGTAGCTAATGCGATTACTAACGACGCCTGAATCTTTATTTTGTTATTACTAGTATAGCATATCACATGCAAAAAGTGTAAGTTACTGTACTCATTTGTTGCAGTTGAAAAAAGACTTTTGACTTCAATCACATGTTCAGATGTTCAGATAAACGATTATGTTAAATTTAAGATTACTCCCTCTTTTTTAATATATGCGTCTCAGTTTGAACATGTACAGAATTTTAAAAAGTAAGGACGACTTTTAAATCCTGTAGTATTAAACTAAAAAAGAGTGCAATATATTAAAATGTACTTGAATTTTTTTATCTTAAATATGTTAGGTAAAAAGTTAGAGTTAGAAACTACAAACTATTAAAAAAAAAGATATTCTTTTTTAAATAGCCTAAAAATATAAGACACATAAATTTTAAAGAAAAAATTTAGACAGGAAAGGTAAAGGAAAAGCAGAAACAAAACAAAGTGCAATGCAGAACTATGTTTCATGTGAGGTGGGCAGGGAATGTATGGGACTTGCTTTGGTGAATTGTAAGTTGCAACACAGGCCACAGTCACATATTTTCACATGCATTTTGTTCTTTTCCACGCCTTGCAAAAAAATTGTAGTTGGGCGCAGGGGAAATAGTAAATGCTATTGTGCTTTTGCGATCCTCTTTTCTCCTCATCTCTTCCCCAAAAAAGAACAAATAAAATTGAGATGAAAAGGAAATAATTGAAATAAAGAAAACAACAAAGGGGCAGTTGGTTAGAACTCAGAATATTAATAAAAAATTGTTACACCCCAAATTTTCGTACGTGAGAGTACGTCGTAAGTCAATTGATGTAAGATGAGAAATGAGATCGTCTTTGAAAATACATAAAGTAAGTTAATCATGTAACATGTTACCTTGGAGGTTACAAATCTTTAAGATCATGGATAACAAGTACCAAAGGTTGAAAGACTTAGAAGCTAAACAAAATAAAGAAAATAAGTTCCATCGAAAGTCGACAAGTTGGGAATATTATAACATCTACTTTTGGGATAATGATGGGTTTTCAATGTCTTTACCTTATGTTTGATGATCTAACAAACTTACTGTCAATAACCAAATAGGGAACCTGACACACTTGGTATACATTACAAATGAACGAAGTCCAGCCTGAACTCCAGCCAATGTGAACTGCTGCAAATAAAGAGAAAAGAGGAACAAGACAAGGACTTGATCCCTGGGTGTCCTCTGACAGAAGAACAAGTCAACTATACAGCTGGAAAGCAACTGCAAAAAGCAACTGCCTGCAAATGTACACGCGACAGTGCAGCAAACAGTGCAGCAGTCACTTTCAATTGGGAAGAGGCATATACCTACCAAGACTTGACATCATCTTTGGGATGTCTTTGGTAGTATAATAACACGGTGCAAGGAACAAGATACTCACTTGAGCATTTAGTGATATTCTCTCAAGCATAAAAGATCTGATCCAGCATTGAAGTCACAAGTGTGTCAAGGACAAGAAGACAACTCCACTAAGGATCAGTTCCACATTGAGTCTATGTGTGTCCATAGTTGAGTTGTAATCTTGTTGTTTGTTCTTCATTGTAACTCCTATCGTGCTTTCTTAGAAGCTTTGTTTAGGAAACTCAAAATCATAAACCTTCTGAGTTTGTCTTGTGACTAGAGTTAGTCATAAGTTAAAGTTTTTGTAACTAGTGAGTGACAAAGTGGCTTGTGGTAAGTGTATCACAAGTTAGTTGAGTTGAAATCTTTGTAACTAGTGAGTGACAAAGTGGCTTGTGGTAAGTGTATCACAAGTTAGTTGAGTTGAAGTCTTTGTATAGAGTCATTACAAAGTGGCTTGTAATAGTGTGTTTACAAGTTAGTGAAGTTGAAAGCCTACAGTTGTAGGTCGTGGTTTTTGTCCCTTTGAGTTGGGATATTTCCACGTAAAAATCCCGTGTCTCATTTACTTACTGTTCTAATTAGTATTTTCTGTGGAAACTCATAGAGGACCAGGTACTTTATAGTTTGGTGGATCCATATAAACTATCAATTGGTATCAGAGCAGGTTCTTTCTAAAAGGTTAACACCTAGAAAGGATCTCAATGGCTGCTCCACCTAACTTTGAGGAAGGACAATCAACCTACAAACCCCTTAGATTCAATGGTCAATACTACGGCAGGTGGAAGACTCGTATGCATGATTTTATAATGGCAGAAGACTCAGAGCCGTGGGACGTCATTTGTGATGGTCCACATGTTCCTATGAAGAAGCTTGAAGAAACTGGACCAATGGTGCCGAAAAACAGAAAAGAGTACAGTGATATTGACAGAAAAGCTGTAGAAAAGAACTATTGTGCCAAGAAAAACTTGGTATGTGGTATAGGACTTGATGAGTACAATAGAATCTCAGCTTGTGATTCTGCCAAGGAAATATGGGAAGCATTGCAAATCGCACATAAAGGAACCACTCAAGTTAAACAGTCCAAGATTGACATGCTCA